TTAAAATTCGGCATTGTCAAATTTCTTTCGTATTGCAGATGCCGAAAATAATCTCAAAAGAAAAAAAAAGGGAAATATTAAAATGTCATGGTTATTTTAAAAAAAATAAGAGGCTCTCCAGGGAACAATTGAAGCCCAACTTGCAGATCTATTTGAGGTAGGTATAACTTAAATGTAGATGTGAAGCCATTTCTTACCCAACCAACATTTTCCTCTAATTTTAGGTGGGAACCAGGACTATTCAAAGAATTTTGACTGGACAATATACAATTAAAAAACCTTTAGGCCGACCGAAAAAGACAGAGACTATTATGGACCGAATGTATAAAGAAGATTTACAACGACAAATTTGGAAATACAATTCTAAAAATGAATATTTTACATTACAAACATTACTGATACGCAAAAGAAAATTTGGAATTTAAGGGAGGGCAAACAAGTTTATATAAAATTTTAAAATCCATGGGATATAAATTTAAAGCAGTAAATGGACGCAAAATTTTATGTGAACAGAAACATGTTCTTGCTGCCAAAATTACATTTTTGCGGAAATACCTCCAATATAAACATTCAAACAAAAATATCAGATTCGTGTATTTAGATGAAACTTGGATCTACCAAAACGGATCTCAAGTTCGTCGATGGATACACGAATCTGATATGAAAAGCAACCCATCCAAAATTAAGTCAGAGGGGAAACGTTTTACTATTTTGCATGCGGGGAGTAGTTCTGGGTTTTTAGATGGGTGCGATTTTTTTCTAGATTCAAGAAACAATGACAGAGACTACCACAATACCATGAACGCGGACATCTTCCAAAAATGGATCGTTGATCAACTAATTCCTGCATTGAATATATTTGAAGAGAAACGTGTAATAATCATGGACAACGCTCCATATCATTCAGAGCGGAAGGATAAACCACCTTCATTCTCTTCAAAGAAAGACAAAATGCAGGAATGGTTGGTTAAACATAACGTAGACTTCGACACAAAAATGACCAAAAAACAACTATGGGACCTAACTCAACCATTTCGGAATAGACCAAAACAATACAAAATTGACGACATTTTGAAAAGCCACGGACACGAAGTTCTTAGATTACCTTCTTTTCATTGCCAATATAATCCTATTGAAATGGCATAGGGGTTTTGTAAGAACTTCTATAATAAAACTACAACTTCGCAGCCACCGTCCACGGATAGGGTTGCGAGGGTATGGCGTGAGTCTCTTTCAAAATGTACCTCAGACATGTGGACAAATTTTTGTAGACATTGTGACAGACTTATTTCAGAAGACTGGACAAAATACATGGGAGACTTACCTTTCAAAAATATTCCTCCTATCATTACTTCTCTTGGAGAATCCGATTCCGAATCGGATTCAGAAATGTTGTCTGAATCTGAGGAGGTATCTAATTCTTCAAGTGAAATGGTGGAAGCTGAATAAGACGGACTAAAAACGGATCTGAATTTGAACTATTACTTTGACAAAACTATAAGGGGAGAATTGGTTCTCTTATACATCATTTAAGTAACCTATAGTTGAGGTTATCTAACTGAAAATGTAGGTTTAAGTATATTAACACTTTCTCAAAAAATGGCCTTATGTAAAAATTTTCGAGATCTTACCCATCCTCCCATGCCTTACAACCCTTTCAAAAAGATAAGGTTTTGTTACAATCGATCCTGCAAGGGAAGATATTTGGAAAGAGAGGACCAGGAAGAAGAAGAATATCGTGACGGAAAAATCTCAGAACATTGTTTGATAAAAGCTCGCCACAATTCTATTGCTGCGAATTAAGTGGACATCGCCATAATAATCGATGATCGCCGACATTCATAAGGGATAGGCACGTCCAGAACGAGAAGAAATAAAAAAATACAAATAGAAGAAATGCCGTTGGACCAAACCCGAAAAAAAAGTTACTGCAAAAACATATTTATGCTATTGAGCTTACTGTTATGGTTACGTTTAATTAATAAATTGAATAATTTTACTATTTGAATTTACTCAGATATTTTACACATTCTGGCAACTCGGCTTTCTGTTTCATAACCCTGAAATTTGAAAAATATTTTGTCATCAAATGTCATTATTAAACGAGGGTCAACCTGTCAAATTTCCATAGATAATGCTACGCCAATAATAAGTGAAAAGCATATATATGATTATTGCATCTATTTATACAAGGTGTCCCAGGGAAAACAGTCCACCCCGATTCCTTGAATTTGAAATTAAAATCTGGAGAAACGGTCGGACTCGCCGATTTTTGATTTGAGGGGGAAATATTTTTTAGTCTTTTCATCCCCGTAATTTTAATCCTCTAGCTAGGGGGAGAACAACCCCCCAAATTTGAATAGGGGATAGGGGTCGTGTCATACCTCTTTTCAAAGGTATCATCGAGTTCTTTATGACCCTGCCTAGAATTTCGTCTCATTATTTTCATCCGTAACGAAACTACAGCATGTAGAAATCTGAATTGAAAATGAAAAATGAACAAGACCTTGAAGTTTATAAAGGCTCAAAAAGACAACTAAGAACGTGCATCACTATAGCTAAGAACGAGTCAATGATAAGAAATGTGAAGAAATTAATACCTTCATAGGAGGAAGGAAATGCTCAGAGGTAAGGAGATTTATATCAAATGTCAAAAGCCTAGGAAAGGACACAGCTTATATCCAGATTATTAAACCAGAGCAATGGTCTATTACAAGAAAGTAGACCGGAATATATATTAGATTCTCCAAGACAGTTTGAAGTACATGGAGAAGAAGTTGAGATATCTGAAGAGACAGTAAAAAAGACTGTTAAGAATCTCAAGTCAGGTAAAGCTAGTGGCCCAGAAGGGATGTAAGTACTCAGAAATGCTGAAATGGAGAACCGAGAAGCTTTTTAAAGGTCTCACATGTATTATCAATAAATGCCTAAATGGACATCTTGTTCCACAAGACTGTAAAACTGCTTTTATATCATCCATTCACAAAAAAGGAAATAAGCTGGATTGCAATAACTATCAGAGTATATCAGTCACAAGCACACTAAGCAGATTATATGGTAGAATCCTACGTGATCTCATTGAAGAAGATTATAAAGAGCAACAAGAAGAACAGCAGTGCGGCTTTAGAGCAGGAAGATCAGGTACGGACAACGTATTTTGCCTAAAACAAGTATAAGAAAAAATATCTGCTAGATATTTGGAAACCCACCTCACATTTGTGGATCTACAAAAAGCATACGATACAGTCTCAGTATCCAGACTATGGAAGGTATTAGAACACTCAGACATCAATCACACCTACATAACGGCACTTGAAGAACTATATGAAGACTCAAAATCAAGAATTAAGATAGGTAAAAAACTCGCAGAAACATTTATAGTCAATAAAGGACTACGTCAAGAATGTTGTATCTCTCCTACGCTTTTTAAAATATACGTAGCAGTAGCGCTGAAAAATTGGAAGAGGAAGATCCATGGAATGGGTATAGAGATAAATGATAAGTGCCTGTTCACTCTTCAGTTTGCAGATGATCAGGTCATAGTGGCCAGTTACAAAGAGGACATGCAATATGTGATTAGAAAGCTGATGGAAGAGTATCAAGAATGGGGCCTGAGAGTTAATATAAATAAAACAAAATATCTATGTATTGGCACCCAGAACGGAAACTTGGAAGTGGACGATGGTCAGGAAAGTCTGCAATGTCAAGAATATGAGTATCTATTTCACATTCGACAACACCGGAACAGACGTGAATGAAATAGAAAAGCAAATAGTTGAAGCTTAAAAAGTAATAGGATGCCTAAATGGAATATTATGGAGCAAGGAAATAACAAAGAAGAGAAAATTCAATATATACGAGACAATGACAAAGAGCAGCCTTTTATATGGAGTCGAGACTTGGAGAATTACAGATAGACAAAAGAAAAAAGTGGAAGCAGTTGAAACGGATGCTATTAGAAGATCCATGCGAATCTCAGGAAAAGACAGAATAAGAAACGACAATATAAAATAACAAATAGGCACAGAAGGCACGATAGTTCAGGACATTGGAAAGAAACAACTTACCTGGTACGGACACGTAGAACGAATGCCAAATGACAGGTGGCCCAGAAAAATGCTGCATTGGCAACCAACCGGTAAAAGAAAACGAGGATGACTAAACCTGGAATGGCAAAAGACCATACAAAAGTCCATGAGTGAAAGAAATCTCTCATCAGAGGATTGCGACGATAGAAGAGGATGTAAATTAGGTGTCGGACAACGAAGGTATATAATATATATATTTTTATCAAGGGGTGGTGAGTATCGCTTTTACTCCCACTAAAACAATAGTCTATTTCCAGGATTTTGACAAGCTGTCATTTCATTCTCCCTCAAATCAAAAATCGACGCGTTCGAGCGTTTTTCCAGATTTTCATTCCAAATCGAAAAAATCGGGGTGGACTGTTTTCCCTGGGACACCCTGTACCTACATTTATTATTGTTTCACATGCATAAATAATGCATGCATGTTTCCTCAAAATTTTTTAAAAGATAATTATTATACTTTAATAGTTCGAAAAATACAAACTGTTACCATCCTAAAACAGTTATACGCATGAGCAGAATTCCTTGTGACGTCTGAAAGGGTTTTGTTTGAATAAGGTGCTTTTTTCCAAAAATTAAATTAAAAAAAATATATAGTAGAACCCAGAAAAAAAGAAATGCACATTAAGAATAGCAAGCAAAATATACTTACTATTCAATGGGCAAAAAAAAAAAGATTTGGAAACATGATACCCATTATTCACAAAAATAAAGGGTCGTTCGGTCGTTAGTAATCAAGTTTGCGTCTAAAAAATAATCTTAAACATTGCATTCTTGATGTGACATCTCGCATCCATGTCTTATTCGATCTCATGCCCACATCTCACTCTTGAAAACATATGACCCACGTAGATCGACTAAAGTCAATTTGATCACCAAGAAATATTCTAAATTACTCTATATTTGTTTTAGCGTGTCCCTGAAGCGGTCAAAACGGATTTCTTGGGGGTACAAGGGTCCCACCCATGTCCGCCCAGTCACCAGCTCGTAAACGTGCCTCCGTTCGGCGGTGAGGGTATCTTAACTGCCGCCCAAGGGGTGGCAGTTGTACCGCCGCCCACTTCCACCACGAACATGAACCAACTGGGCACCGTTTATGCGACGAAGAGACGGAGACGAAACGGAAAAAGGTAAAAATTGTTCAAGCGCAAACTATTTCAATATTTATTTGGTTAATTAATTGGAATTTATTGAAAGAAAGTCAAGTTCGCATGTCATAAAGCTAAACGAATGTAATAATTGTTTTAAGTAGCGTGCGCGTGATCAGTATTGGGTTACTACACATGCAAAGGAAAGAGGTTTACTAAATGTATAACGTATAACTGTGCAGCCATGCAAACCCTAATAAACAACTACAAATGATACAAATGTTTAACAAATCTTTTTCAAATTTTGTTCAGTCATTCCTTTGTATTCTTATTACAATAAAATTTGTCCACTCACTGGACAGTGAATTAGATATAAATTCAAATATTATAATAACCTGCATGATAAAGTTAAATACAAAAAGCAAATATTAGTACATCAAGTTCAATGTGGCGAGTTCACTTCACTAAATTACTAAAATAATAAAAAAAAATATCCTTAAATTCTTATCTGGACTAAGTGCGGTTTTTATAAGTTTGCCTTGATGCAATTAAAAGCGCTGCTAACTTAATAAATTGCCTGGCTGGAACGGCTGTGTATTTTAGCCGGAGTTTATTATATAGGTAGGTATTTTATTCTTTGTCATAAAATCATTTATGGTGCGCTTGAAACAGATCGATTTTGTAGGTATGAAATAGATATCTAAACTTTTTTATCTATTGGTATAATGAGAAGTTTTAATTAGGATCATTATTCGGGAAAATAATAAAACATAATGGATAACTAAGTAGCCCAAAAATCTAGTGCAATCGCAATTGGTTATCACTTTGGATCCAACTCTAAACTTTGAATATTGGACTTTATTAAAAGGACCTCCCAAGACTTCACTAATCTAAAGGCTTTCAAAACAGTTCATTAAGCTCTTGCTTACCCCCATTTGGTGTGGATATGCCTTCTGCGCCTGATCTCCCTTTTATAGGTATTCAATCTCTTTAGTCTGGTTGAGCTTAAGCTCCTAAAACAAGTGGCATATAAATTAAATATCCTGAATCACTATACGGACTCTGAAATACCTAATTTGCTCAATATGTCTCAAAAGAGATCTTCAAATTTTTTTATAATATATTTACATGGTAGGTACAGCCGCAGCTCCAGAATTGCTCCACAAAGTTGATACACGTGTCCCTTCTAGAGCCACCAGATCTACAGATAGCTTCGACTTCCCAATTCACCGAAGCAATTATGGCCTGAATACTGAATACGTTTATTTCCATATTTGCGAGATTGGCCAATCAACATCTTGAAAATTGGTACTTTCACAAATTAATTATTCCTCCCAAGTTTTTACTTACTTTGTAAATTGAGTATATATCTTTAATCCACTCTTTCTTAAATCTCCTTATCTTCTATTTCTATGCTGAAATCATTTCAAGTTCTCACATAACTTCGAGGCTTTTTACTCCATTATTACTTCTTTAATCTTTAACAGATTCAATTATCTCCGCAACCGATAATAAATTTTGTGTTAATATTTGCCCAATTTAATCTTCCAGTATTGTAATATTTCTTTACTATTTCAAATTACATTCAATCAAGAAATCTGGTGCCACTAAATTAATAATCAAATCTACCATTGATGGACTCTCAGCTATTAAAACTTTCGAATTTATGGGTATAAGTGAAAACTCTTGGTTCTCTGGGCTTTGCTCAATTTAATTTTATGAGACATCTTTGTTGATAAAGGAAACATTCATAATTTTGATCACGATCTCTGATACTTCGCCTGTATTAGTAATCTATTTCTATACAACCAGATGTTTAGATTGTCTTTTACCTTCTTTGGCATACTTATCTCGTAATGATATCTTATTCATCTGTTGTCATACCTGCTCTGCTTCTAATTCTCTTATTCGTACGGAAAATTATAATTAAAGTACAAAACTGAGCAGGTGTGACTTTACAATGAAGTTAATTTTCTTACATGACGCATGCGCACTCATAACCTCAACTGTCAAGTCAAATTATGCACAGAAACTGAAGTATATCGCAACATCGTTTTAGAGCGTTGTGATTGGTGCACTTAACGCACGGATTGCCTTAAGTTGAAGTTGGCCCAACTTTTCCGTGTATTACGTTAATTTTCCTAATTTTTAAATGGATGTAAACCACTACGTATAGTAGGTACATGATCTTCAACTTTTCTTTATTGTTAATTTTCCATACGGTAACTTAAGTGGATGTAAATGACCCTTATGGGTACTGTCACTGCTAATAAATTGTCGGGATCGTCTGTGTTACCTACTTAAAAAGAGAAATCTACTCATCTCCGATGTTGAGGATCTTCACTTGCAGTTGAAGGGTGCCTTACGAGCAAAAACCAACGATCTAAGATATTCTTACACGCAGGAACACCACTTGGATTCTAAAGATACCAGTGTTGAACCTAACTTAGACTGTACCTGATGAGTGGAACCTTGGTGAATTTTTGGTGGTATCTGAGTAAAATCTGGGTTCTGGGTGTAGTCTGGGTGAAACGTGGGTCTTTATAAAACTGTTCGTGTGAAGCACGAGCTCGATGAGTTAACAAAATTGCTTACTTCCAATGAGGGAACTCGAGACCTTGCTGAAAAGATTCCTAGATGAAAGAGGAACACACGTCTGAGCCTATACATTTCAATGAACATATACAAACTTACCGACGCCAGAATCGCAATCGACCAATGATTAAGCTTCAGGCAAATTTGCGAAATTATAAGTGGGCCTCCACGATACTACAGATCCCAAAAAAAGGAATCAAATCCCAAGTAATTTAATTATTGTTATGTTGCCACATGCATAACCTAAAAGTAAATGACCGAACCGCCTTTCGATTAAAAAAACGACGCCGGAAGAGAGTATCAAAATGACACTAATTTCAAAAATTAGAAAGATAATTATTACAGAGATACGTTTTTGCTCTGATTGCTCTACTCTGATTTATGAAAGCGCCCAAGCCATTAACCAATCGGAGAACCTTTGAAGCTCCTCAAAGCAGCAGCTGTTTATAAGATAAACTTTGTTTTACCAGGGTTCATACTTGTTGCCTTCCTTTTTTAACAAGTAGAAATTGACTGAAACAAATCAATGACGTCAAAAACATTCGTTTTAATTTGTCAAAAAAATTGAATGTGTCATATGACTTATCTACGACAACCCTTTTTTTTCAAGTAATGATGTGTTCGATGTCAAAAGTATGAACCCTCGTGAAACGATCTGTAAATTGGAGGTCGTTCAAGAACTATTTAGAGGATACTTTGATAACATAAAGTATGTTGATTTTTTAATAACCGACATCATTGATAATGCAATGTAAACCTGTTTCTGGAGGAATTTTCACATGGAAAAGTCTTGTGTCGCCAACATAATATTTTCACGGTTTCCGGGTTCAAACTCACTCACACACAACAATAACCACTATTATTGAACAAATTGACTTTTTAAAAATTCCCTCACTTATTGGAACCTATACACTACAAATGTCATATTTAAACTGATTCCAAACTGACCACTACGCGCTATTTATAGACGACATCGCACTTCGGCCGGCTTATTCTATAACTTGCGACCTCAGAGAATTGCCCAACTGTCGCTGTCAAACGCGTTTTTTCTATTCTAAAAAAGCAACTGCGACTCGGTTGCTGGTTGCTATGTAATTGCTGTTCGTAGAGAATAGGCCTGCGGATTTATCTAAGGTGTATTTTTTCCTAAGATGGATTTTGACATGGAAAACTTTGAAACATAAGCCATACCGCTTGGCCCTGATATGAGGTGTCCTTGCAGGTTGGCATCAGTTTTACAATGCATGTCGTGCAAATGGCATCTTGCGACCAATGAGCAGCATTGTTTATGTTTCAAAGTTGACAATTTCAAAATCTATCTTGGGAAAAAATACAGTATAGAAGTATTTGTTGATTATCAAGAAATAGAATTTCCAAATAGACATAAACAACTGACATAACGTAATGTCAACATTTGACAAAAACAGAATTTAAACCTTGTAGGCATCTAATCCTACATTATTCTTGCAAATAAATCAAGTATATAAAACTTTTTACTCAGGTTTCAAATACAAGGGAGGTTTCCTAATTGCAGGGCTTGTTGAGTTTTCACTAATATAACAGGTTAAAAAACTCGAAACTGCACATAATTGAGTGTCCTACAATAATAAATATAGGATTTACGTGGATATGTATATAATAGTTGGCGGGCCCTCAATCAATCACAAACAAACCTACACAAATCAACTATTGTTCAACTATCCAGATCCAGTGATAAATAGGCCAAAGTATGGACTATGGATTTAATGGAATCCACAAAGCTGATATTCCTTCAAAGTCCGAAGGAGGGCAAGACCCAGATCTGGATTTTAGTGCGAGCTGGTGTGTACATATTTCGCTCGACTGGCCTGTTAAAACTGAAATACTTTTTAAAACTTGTTAATGAGTACCTACCTATCTTAGGATTAAAAGACGACCTGTTGCCATTTTTTTCATGCTTACATGCAACCTAAATCCAAGATGGCGTCCAAAAAAGGCAAAAACGTGGTATTAAATTAAGATATCAGTCTCACAACTTTCATTTATTTCAATAATTATAAAAAAGTAAAGTTTAGGTACTCTAGGAACAAAACAAATCTCAGAAAATATATCAACTAATGTCGGTATTACGTCCACTGACCATTTGTGCACATTGTTTTATTAAAAGTAACATAATAGATATCTTACAATTTGAGAACCACAATCTAAAAAATGTATGCTGTATGGAAATTGATTGATACAAGAGACTATTTATAAGTGATAAGTACATTATTACTGTACATAATGGTGTACCGGGTGTTCCACCTAAGGAGGTAACCGGCTATATCCCAGAAACTTGATAACACTAGAACTTTGGAGAAAAATAAATTATTGATAAAAGAGGCCAAGAGAAATTGCTGGAAATTATTTTCAAGTTTATAGGACGGCCGCCAGGGGTCGCAGTTGTAATGACAAAAGGAAAAAATAGA